TAATAATAGCACTGTAACTAGAGCTACTAGCAGAAAGTGGGTATCTAATACAATGTGAATTTCACATTTTGCCATTTACAAAGGCCAAATACAGTATATGATTAATAATGTAACTGAATACAACATTTTTCAAAACTAATAATAATTCTTTTTTCATATACTGTTCCTCACTAAATGTGGCTTGATTTATCTTGATTTGAACAGAACTTTGCTACATATTTTTCAATAAGTGCTGGTCAACGACTATACAGAAGCGATTGAAATAAATTACTGCCACAGGTGGAAAAGTGCAAATCTGAAAAATTGACATCAGTCTCATCTGTGGTATAAATGAATAAAAAAGTAGAAATAAATCAGTGGTGGGAGTATAGCATTTGTGCAATATTTGTTTTGCAAACATTTTTGCCCTTGACTTGAATAACTTTATTATACTGAATTTCCTGTCTGTCAAGTAAGAATTCACTGCAGCAAGTACATTCTTATAAATGTCATAATTTTTCTTAACTAATATTTTTGAAGCTGATATTAAGGGTCATTCTGCAAAAAATTAATAAAGTTAATGATAAAACAAATGTTAATTGCTTATGACTGTGAAAGAATGACTTGTAGCCAATATAGTCAGCCTTTAAGAGCTGATGAGCCATTGTAGCAGCAAGTGAAGTTGGAGAGAGAGCACAATAAAATAATCACTCACCATTCTGGGGTTGTGTTGTGATGTTGTTTTGTGACTTTGGGCCAAAAACCTCAGCTGATCTGAACTGGCGTATCTCCATTGGCTTCCAGTTTACACCAGCTGAAGCTTTGGACCTATGTGTGGTGATAATACAGTGTAGTCACATATTCACAACATTACAAGGAAAACATCACAAAGCAATTCTATGACATGACATTGAATATGTAGAAACTCTTTCTGATTCTGCTAGCTGGAATTTTTCTCTTTCCCTCTTTTCCCCTCCTGAATGCTAGGAAGGAGACTGGAGGTACTTTTTTCTGTTCTCTCTTCCTCCTTACCTCCTGGATTCATGGAGTGAAAGAAAGGTTCTAGCAACAAGTTGTTTTTGCATTTCACAGTAATGGGAAAGTGGTTCTGACAGCTTACATACTGTTGTACCAACTGCCCTGCTCTCCCTGAGAAAATACACCTGAGATCAGTGTTCTGCTTAGTCTACCAGAAACACAGGCATAGCCAGTAGGACAGTTGAGTCAAAATCTGTGTATGTGGCCCTGAAGATATACACTCTGAGGAAGAGTCATATGTTGAGTATCACTGACTTAACACCCGACCCTGGTATGTTGCTTAATGCTGTGAAGAGTCTCATGGACTTAAATGAGACTCTTCAATATAGAACAGACTTTGCCTAGTAGTGAACGTTTACAAGACTGGGGTTTAGTGTTGGATGAGTAAAGAATTTGACTCACATATAAATAGGGGCAGAAGAAATACGTGGATGAGTGTACGTAGTTTGCCTATTACAATCTATGGTGTCTTCCTGGAAGACTTGAAGGGCTTGAAAGCTTGTCTTGCTCACCAAGAGAAGTTGATCCAATAAAATATATTACCTCAAGCACCTTGTCTCTCTAAGGGACTGACATGGCTATAACAAACCTGCATATCTTCCTGCAAGCATAATTATTAATATTAGTTTTGTTTGTTTGATTGATTTTAAATAGAAACAGGTTAGTCTGCAGAGGAACTAGTTATTAAAATTAAATCACTTAAGGACCAGTGCTGCATAGCAAAGCACACACAGTCTTTAGATTTTTCAAGATTGGGTCTATATTGTGTATTTTGAAATTAAGTAGACATATGTACTGCAGCAGGATTAACTGCAGCAGGTGATGCAGCATTGGCAAAGGGAACTGCAATATGTTTTTACTATAATCTGAAGTACACATGGGATTATTTTTTTGGGCTGCTATAATTTATGCACCATTGGTTTTCATCACTTTTCCTGACCATATGTCTGTGTTATATCTAATGCAAGTTCACCCTATGCGAGATATTAGCCCCTTCTTTATGCTTTATGCTAGTACAAAACACTACTTTAGGAAACACTATACATGAGAGATGACTGTGTCTGCATAGACTGCAGGGAAATGATAAATTGATTTTTTTTGAAATGGTATATATGCTATAATTTAAAAAATAATTCTGAGAGAATTTGCATGGCAGAGTATCTCTAATTACATAGGTTGGAGAACTAAATTTGGGAAACTTCATGAACTTAAGGGTTGGTTTGAGAATTTATATCTTCCACACTTAGCTTTGGACATGAGAACAGAAGTGCTAAAAAGTCAGTGTTTGTCTGTCAAGCCTATAACACCAACTTTAACTTTGACTTCTCTTTTATAAAAAAACACAGTATTTTACAGTAAAGCTCAAAAGACTGCATGACATTATTGTAAGCTGTGGGGATGTGGACCATTACTGTAGGTACTAATATCATGCTTTGGGGAGGTTGCTGACCTGTAAACGGGGAGAAAGGTTTGAATGGAGGGAATCAATGTCTTGCCATTGGGGAGGAGGAAATAAGAGTTTTTTTAACAGCTGGGAGGGTGTAACTGGTTTATTACAATAGAGGAAGTATTAGGAGCCAAGAGGAGAGCTGGACATTTGTGTGTGTGTGTGTGTGTGTGCACGCGTGTGTGTAGCGGGGATAAACGGGGGATAGGAAGAGATATTCATCTTGTCATATTCAAATTTCATTGGTTTCAGAGTAGCAGCCGTGTTAGTCTGTATTCGCAAAAAGAAAAGGAATAAGGTACTAGTGGCACGTTAGAGACTAACCAATTTATTTGAGCATAAGCTTTCGTAAGCTACAGCTCACTTCATCAGATGCATTGGATTTCATTGGAATGCACATGACATAACACTGGACAACAAGCATTTCCTTATGCCCTGTCCTGGAGTCACACCCTCTTCACCTGGGAAGAGTTGTTTTTCTCTGTTATTTCAGAGATTTGGTCTTGGAATTGGATTTCTCTCTTTTACTATTTTATATCTCTACAGATGTGAAGATTTTTGGAGAGCTAATCATTGAAAGAGCTTAGGGAAATAGATTTACTGTGCAAGTATTTTCTAATTTTCAGAAGTACAGAACTTTCTTAGTTATGGACTAAACTTTTAACATATCAAATGCACTATTTTAACTGAGGACTAGTCTAAAGTCTTGAACTCAAATAAGTGGGGACACTAGAAGATAATCAGATAAGTTGCTACATATGTGATTTTGGCCTAGTTGTAGAAGCTTACTCACACAAGTAGTCCCATTATATGTGACCACTTCAGTAAATACTCACCAACATGAGTAAATGTTCCACAAGCAGATCTTTTCTGTTTTATTTCTACACAACTAAGGTAAAATATTTTCATTTCTGGGAGTGGATTCTAAGTTGTGGAAGGTTCTGAGTTGTGGAGAGGCTGAGTGAGGAGGTAGGGCAAGGAATTCGCTTTATGTGTAATGCTTGGAGCCTGATGGTGTTTCTATGCAAAAGGCAGATTAGGAGGTTACCGGAATATATATTTTGATTCACTGGCAGGGGGCAAAGGCAAACCAAAGTAGGATCAAAAATGTTTTTCTCGAGTGTTTACCAGGCTCACTTAAAGTTGGATGGAAAGTCTACTTAGTTTCTGATAAATAATACTTTCAGCTACTGTTGGCAGCACAACTGTTTTGATAATTGTTACAAAGGAGAGATGTACCACAACCAGAAAGATCAAAGATGTTTAAAACCGTCTTTTCTTTAGAGGTAATGGGGTAAACTTTCAAAGCTGTGCATGGTTTCTACACAATAAATCCCCTTAATAAATAACACAATTTGCTTCTGCAACTCTTGAAACACTGAAATAAAAGTGTAGTCTATAGTGCAATGTGTTATAAAAGTTTAAAAGTAAAAGTAAAGGAAACATCAGACAGTCTCCCTTCAGTCTGAAAATGCATAAAGTAGCAATAATACCAAATATATATTCCCACTAGGATTGTAAAGAGTATATCTTATTCTTTAGCCTTACATTTTATTACAGTTGCAACAAAGCAGATTGCAGAAAAATATTGTATAAAATAATTCCTTACACTACTAAAAGACAAACAAAAACACCAAGACCTCCTTTATGTAACTCTAGTTAGCTAAAGTAGAAAAATGATCTAAGACCAGCTCCTCAGTGGTTGTAAATTGGAATGAGTTCAGCAGAACTATGCTGATTTATATCATCTAAAGAATTGGCCCTTACTGTTTTTTGATCCTGTAAACTTGGTGAAGTTTCACTGCTCTATTTTGGCATTTGACATGTGAGAAGTGAAAAAATGCTATGAAACCAACTCTGGTGTATTTTCGTCATTCAACAAGAAAAAAATCCTTCCATATACTCAGTACTCTGCAAAACCGAGCATATTTGTGAGCACTGCCAAAGGGTGAATACACAAATTTATTTTAAAATTAATCTACAATCCTCTAGATGAATTTAAAAACATCCAAAAGTTCTGTTGCAATTAGCATCCAAAAGTCTGACAGCTTGAATTAATTTAATCCTAAATCCTTGGGCCAAATCCTGCTCTAAATTACACCTGTACAACCCATGGATTTAACTGGACTTCTAAAATGAAGGAAAAATTCTGCACTTTTAGTTGGCAGACCTGGATTATACATCTCTTGAAAATAGGCTTTGCTGCAGTATTTCAGCACTTTTAGTTCTGATCCTGGTCCTCACATGGAAACACTGGATGCAAAAATGAAAGAGATGGACCTGATTCCCCTTTTCTTACACTGGCATAAAACAAGAGTTACCCCATTAAAGTTCAAGTTCAGTGCAAAAATTTTGGGAAGATCTTATTTTGTGAGAACCAGTTTGTTTTACCTACACAATGTCACATTTTATGAGGACTAAAAAGACAGTTCTAAAGGCTCCAGTGGAATTAAGTGAACGGAAAAAGTCCAATTGTACTTCACAGTGGTGAAAATACAAAGGTATGGATATAGTAACTTGGACACAATATACTCACCGGCTTGCCCAAGGGTGTATTCCTGATGTCTCGTTCCTATTCTGTTAGTAGCTGTGCAGTTGTATCGCCCAAAATCATTGTCAGATGTGGGTGCAATCTTTAAAAGAAGCATAAGCAAATTTTAAATATTATTTTCTAATGATTAATTACAAAAATGCCATTGACCGTCTCAAAATTTAAATTAATTCTCTTTAAACTGTATTAGGATGTTCCCTTATGTTACCTTATCAAATACATTTCACAAAATGGTGACATAAATGTGGTAGATCTGTAACAAATTCTCTCTTTTTCAAAGCTTGTATGAAAAAAAATATTCATTAAACAACAGAAGGACAAGGTTAAATATTTCAAATCCACAGTTACACCACTGAATGGAAAACATCCTCTAGGGAAGTTAAAGGCAACATGACCCCTCCTTCTGTCCATAATATGCAAAGGAGGCCACTTTGTCCCAGGAAAGAGGAAGGGACCAGGCTACGAGCCCTCTGGAAACATTTAACCTAACATTAGGGGTAGGCTCAAAGAGGAAGGTGAGCTGTCTTCCAGGATATCTGGTCCCTCACAAATGGACACTGCAAGATTCAGGGTATGCATAGCCTTATCTGTGATCATTGGACAGTAGCATGGCTGTGAAATATTGGTAGGGGAAAGGTATTAAATGTATTTCCTTATTTGAGTAATACTATTTTAATTTAAAACAGCGTTTCTCAGATGTGGCCACCAGGGGCTTTCCTTGTGTCCACAGCCTCTTGGGCTGTGATGGTGGGTGGGGTGGGCAAAGCAGCAGCCCCTCTCCCTCCTTGTTGCTCCTGGGTGCACCACCTTGATATTGGTTGCTATGGAGATACCTGGGGCACAATGTGGGAGGACCAGGCAGCCCGTGAGTGTCTCCCCCTTCCCCGGGGGGGTGGGGGGGGCTCAGGCTTTGGGTTCAGCCTTGGGGTAGTGAGGCAGCAGCCTTTTCACAACAGAATTCTTAGCTAGCATTAAATCAATTACAATGATTTGGACATGTATTTGTGCATATTTCTTTGTTTTTCCTACAGCTAATCAAGTATTTTACGAAAAAGTGTGAGAGCGGCCACCTGGAACAGTTGGTGGCTGCACTATGAGGCCACCAAATAATTTGTCCTGTGAACCCCTGATTTAAAACACTGGATTCTTAGAACTTGTCCATATAGAGAGTTAGTGCATGGCAAGCTGGGGTATAAATCTGCAGCATACTAGTAGTCACATAATAAATTGCAGTGTGAACATAGCGACTGGGCATTAAAAGTTCCACAGAGCACTTTGATCTACTGTTGTTTGAAATGGGTCAAAAAGCACTATGGAACTTTTAGTGCGTGGTAGCAGTGTCCAAATGGCCAGCTAGCATGTAGCACACTAGTGGTTCTCAAAGCCGGTCTGCCGTTTGTTCAGGGAAAGCCCCTGGTGGGCTGGGCCAGTTTGTCTACCTGCCATGTCCGCAGGTTCAGCCGATCGTGGCTCCCACTGGCTGCGGTTTGCTGCTCCAGGCCAATGGGGGCTGCGGGAAGGGTGGCCAGCACGTCCCTTGGACCCCGCCGCTTCCTGCAGCGGCGAACCGCGGCCAGTGGGAGCTGCGATTGGCCGGACCTGTGCATGTGGCTGGTAAACAAACCAGCCCGGCATGCCAGAGACTTTTCCTGAACAAGCGGCGGACCTTTGCACTAGAGCACTGTAGATGTACACCACAGCTTGCTACACACTAACTCTCCATATAGACATTCCCTTAGTGGTCATTTTTTTAAACAGAAGTTGTGACCTTACAATTTGTATGAATATTGAGGTTTATGATCTCTCTATCTCCTACAGATAATGTAGGGACCCAATCCTGACGTCCTCTTTTAAGCAAAACTCCCATGGTGTTAATGGGATTTTTGTCTGAATGAAGGACTCAGATTAGGAATTCAGGCAAATTTATAGTCGCCATTATGTAAACCATTGCACATTTTCCTGATTACTAACTTATTTTTGCCTTACACCATTGGATTCAACACTTCACTCCCCTAACAATATATATATATATATATAAACACTATTAGCGCCAGTAATGGCTATAACAAGCAGAAACAGATTTGTTAAACCCAAGATATCATATTCAGAACATTTCTCATTACCTCTTCAAGGGACTTTTCAATCATTCATTGTCATTATTGATACACTGCAAAGGGAAGAAAGATCCAATAGGGAAAACAAGCAGGTAAATAAATGAGAAGGAAAATCAGGAGGGATTTCTTTCCGGGCATTACTTTTTAAGTTGTGAAGATCTCATTTTTTAAAAACAGATATTCTAAGACACCACAACGATGCATTTTTCAGTCACCCACTCACAGTGACACTTGAGTTCTCACTGCTCAGGAGCCTCCAGGGCTGGCCTTACCATGAGGCAAACTGAGGCGGTTGCCTCAGGTGCCAGACGGGGGGCGGGGGCGATGGGACGGGTGACTAGGACCCAGAGTGTAGAAAATTGTGTCTGCTGCTGGTGCATATGTATTCTCTCTGCTCTAGATGCACAGAGATGGTGGAGTGCTGTGCTGGAGGAAAGAGGGCACAAGAGACATAACAGGCAGGCAGGAGAAAAGGTGAGAGGAAATAACAGAAAGCAGCAGGAGCTGCAGGGAGAGAGAGGAGGAGGAGGAGCCTCTTATGTACCTCTCTAGCACCCCTAAGAGCCTGGATGGATTAACACCAGCTTCTCAGGGAGCTTCCTGTTTCCTGCTGCTTCCCTGAACCCACTTGAGGAGAACAGGCAGTCAACTGAAGTAGTAGGACCCAGCTGGGCCCTTAAGATGTTGATATCTTCCCTCATTCAGGCCCTGCTACCAGCCTGCTTATTTGTCCCCTTCAATTGAGTGTTGAGAGCCACTATAGCTGGCACAGAACAGCAGTCATGAGTGAAAGAAGAAAACACCCCTCTGGGGCAGCATTCAAAAAAACAAAGAAAGCAAAGGAAGCTTTACTATCTAAGCAGGAAGGAGCTCTCCTGAGATACATAGACATAAATGTTCATGGTGAGCCTTCCGGCCCCAGTGAGGATGTGAGTGGTGAGGAGATGCCTGATCTTCCAGTTAGTCAGAGTGCAGGTGACCTGGCAGCTACTGCAACATCCATATCTCCATCTCAAATGGATGCAACCATGCACATTCCTGAAGAAAAGTATAGATCAGAGAAGAGTGTGGTAGAGGCACAAGAAACAGCTGCTGCTGAGTTTAGTTCCTTAAGTCTAGATGATGCAGAACTGTGGACCCACTTGTGCAGTAGCCTGAGGGACCTCCTTGTACTGCATGGGCCACAGCAAGTGAAAAACATCATGTTCCCCAAAGACAATGAAAATAGACACATTACTGGCGTGAAATCCCCAATGGTGACAAAGTAGAGAGGTCATGCCTTATGTACTCAAAAACCCAGAATCCTGCATACTGTTTCTGTTGCAAACTCTTCCAGTCTAATGTTCCAGCCAAATTGGGTTCTACAGGAACAAAGGACTGGAAAAATCTGGCTAGAAATCTGGCATGGCATGAGAAGGTAGCAAATCACCAGAGAGCATTCCATAGGTGGAAAGAGCTTGAGATGAGACTAAGGTCAAAGGCCACCATAGATGATCAGCATCAAGAGAAAATTGCTCAGAGTCTCTTTACTGGCAAAATGATCTGAAAAGGCTCATTGCCATTGTGAGAATGCTTGCTACCCAAAACCTAGCATGGTGTGGCACTTCAGATCAGCTGTATGTGCCAAACAATGGAAACTTCCTTAAAATTGTGGAGCTGATGGCTGAGTTTGATGCTGTACTCCAGGAGCATCTAAGAAGAGTCACCACCCAAGCAATGTACACACACCACTACCTTGGAAAAAACAATTCAAAATGAGATCATACAGTTACTGGCAACAAAAGTCAAACAGAAGATTGTGGCAGATCTGAAGTCAGCAAGATATTACTCTGTTATTCTGGACTGCACACCTGACATCAGCCGTATAGAACAAATTACTTTAATGGTGCATTTTGTAACAACAACAGAACCTAGTGAAAATGTCCCTGCAATGGTGACTGTCAGAGAGCATTTTCTAGAATTTATTGACATTGATGATACTACAGGAACTGGTATGACAAATGTGCTTCTTAAAAAGCTGGAAGATACGGGAATTGTGATAGCTGACATGAGAGGTCAGGGCTACGATAATGGTGCCAACATGAGAGGAAAGAACAGAGGACTGAAGACACAGATCCAAGAGTTAAACCCTCGAGGTTTTTTGGTCCCATGCAGTTCTCATTCATTGAACTTGGTGGTCAGTGATGCAGCATCAGCTTCTAGTGAGGCTGCTGAATTTTTTGATGTAATTCAAAGCATCTATGTATTTTTCTCTGCAACAACTCATCGATAGCAAATTTTGAAGCAACATCTGGGAACATCCTCTCTGACACTGAAACCACTGAGTGCCACACGATGGGAAAGTCAAGTGGAGATGATAAAGCCTATCAAACACCAAATTGGGAAGATAGACGATGCCATAGTTGCTATTATGGAGGGTAATGCTATGACAGAAACTGTTCGTGGGAGAACAGTGGCAGAGGGAAATGGAATCACCAGAAACATATCTAACTTCAAATTTCTGTGTGGCTTAGTGTTGTGGCATGACATACTGTTGGAAATAAATGTTGTAAGCAAGAGACTCCAAGGTGTTGACCTTGATATATCCGGAGCAATGTAACAACTGGGCAAAGCAAAGTCATACCTACAGTCTTACCGGTCAGATGAGGGATTTCAAAACATTCTGAAGAGTGCACAGAAGTTGGCAGAGGATCTTCACACTGAAGCTATTTTCCCACCCATTCAAGAATACAAGAGTCACCGAAGGAGAAGACATGTTGATTATGAGGCACGGGACAATCCCAGTCCCAAACAACAATTCAAAGTTGAATTATTTAACCAGGTGCTTGAGAGGAGTAGAACAGGAAGAAGGTAGAACTGAGACCTTTCAAAGTTTTGGCCCAAGCGAGGGTGCCTGGGGGCATCATTTGAGCTCCCTGCTTCAGGTGCCAAAATGTTGTGGGCCGGCCGACCCTGGGAGCCTCAAACAAACAGTCAGTGGATTCATGCTTTAAAATCAAACTTCATCTATGAACCTCCTTTTCATGTGACATAACTACAAACTCAATTTAAAAGAAGACAGTCTAAAGATAGTGACATAGAATAGCTAGCTAGCCAGTAGTGTTTGTTTGTGTCAAATTCACAGTGACTTTGAACCCATTTTCTCTTACAGTCTCTTAAAATCTTGTTTGCATGATAGTAAGCAGATACTATCCTGCTCCCTATGAAATCAATGACAGGGTTTTCGCTGACCTCAAGGGAAACATGATAAGGCCCACTGACAACTTAGAAGCACATGTGTCAACAGTAAGCACTGCATTGTATTTTATAGACTACACTGATTTGCTGAAATTACACAGGAAACTTTCCCACAATCTATTCAGCACTAAATTATCAAAGAATTAGGAACAAAGCAACTCATTAGGATTAGATTTAATGTAAAAATATATTAGCAATCAGATATAAAATACATTTGTTTTACTCACACAAATGGAAGATCTAAAACATTATGTCTTGTGTAATTTTATATATGTAATACTGAGAAATTATCCCTCCCCAGGAGTGATAATATTCTTTTTCACTTTTAGAGCATTTTTCATTCAAGGACACCAAAGCACTTGATATATATTAATTCATTTACCTTCACAACACTCTTCTGAGGAAGACTCTTTCTGACTCTTCAGGGGCTGCCCTACTGAAACTATGAGCCAAATGTATGTTAAAACTTCATAACTGTTTTCTACTGTCTTTATAACTTTAGTAGAATAACTAGATCAGATACTTATCTGAAATAATGTACATGTTAGCAATGCTACTTCATTCCTTTCATTGTACATATTTTTGATGTATTTTGTTGTAGTGCATCAGGATGCCAGTACATAACCTTTATTTCCATATTTACTAACTTCATTGGGGTCCATTTCCCCGATAAACCAGAACTGGAAATGGACTTAGGGAAAGGCATTCCCTAAAAAAGGCGGGAAACAGGACTGGTGTCTGGTACAGTGAGGAGACAATCTCCTCTTCTCCACCTCCTCAACCCTCACATGAGAAGAGTGTGCTGGAGTCCAAGCAATGGGCTAGGGACCAGCTGTTGAGTGGGGAGGGGCTGACATCAGTCCTGCCCCAGGTGAAAAGGAATCATGACCTGCACTGTATGAGTTACTGCAGGATACTTCCCAGATGAGTTAAGTTAATAAAATTGTTGGGGCCTAATTAAATCACATCCTTGGCATCTTCTTTTTCCTCATGTGTGGCAGACAACATAGCTTGTTCCTGACTTATTGGGACTGGCTCTAAGAGATAAGAAAGGACTTTAGTCTCTATACAACAGCCTTGTTATGGAGACTTACAACAAGACAATTAGTTTTGTATTGCATATACCTGTCTGCTTTGAGCTGGACTGAAATAGCCAAATTTTTTTTCATGCAGGCACTAAATCATTGATAATATCAATCTACTGAATCAGTTTTACTATTTTTTAAATCTTCATGTTTTATTTACTACTTTGCAAAAAACTCAGGTTATATTAATGTTCACTGAGAGTGGTGAACTGAAGGCAAGACAATTGATTAGAACCAAGGACTTCTTTCTAGCTGATCACAAGGAATATGGAGATAAATAGCTCATAAGATTTTTTTCCCCCTGAAACTTCTTCATTACATCACAGATCTGATCCGCAAGTGTTTTATACAACCCCAGTAATAATTCCTGACCGGTGAAGAAATTAAATGACTCCACACTGATAAATGTAACGTGCTAATTTACATTTAAAGCCTTACCTCTAATATCAGCTTTCTTCCTGCACTGTAAGTCTTTAAATGGGTAGTGTTTTTTGCCGGTAAAACCAATTTTCCTCTTCTCCAGTGAACTGAAGCTATAGGATTAGATAGTACTTCACAACTTATATTGATAGGATTGCCTTCCCAAGAATAATACAAGGTTTGATTTGACACAAATGTTGGAGCATCTGCAAAAAAAGAGAGTATTAAACAAATATGTTATCTGCCTCTGTTTCCATAAAAAAATGCAACACATTTTTATTCAGGTATATACTATTGAGGTTATCATAGAAACCTGAATTTAGAAATGTGTCATTTCATAATGTGGACTGCTCCAATGTCAATTCTCATCTGTGAGTTTCTCACGTAGTCATCTTGGATAGTTCTCTGAAACCATCCCATCAATGTGCAGTGCCAGTCAAAAAAGCTAACAGAATTTTAGGAACCAATAGGAAAGAAATAGATAATAAGATAGAAAATATCATAATGCCATTATATAAATCTATTGTATGCCCAGACCTTGAGTACTGTTGAATACTGTATGCAGTTGTCCAGCTATACCAAAAGAAGGACAGGAGACACTTGATATGGATTTAATCAGGCTGCAACTTTATTATTAGATGTCTGGGACTACCTGAGAGAAAAAAGTGTACAGTGAACGTAAACCCTGTTTGTTTTGTAATTAACTGGGAATGCGGCTTCCACCAGCTCCCCCTCTTTTTCCATCCAGGTCCCACCAGCAAATCCATTGTTGGGACCTTACCATCCACACCCCCTCGTAGGAGGGGTAAGGTGGGCTACAAGATAGGGGGTTTGGCTCCATGCCGTTCCAACCATAGGAGCCCAACCCCCCCACCCTCACCGTTCTGTTAATTTAACCAACGCCACCTTTTTTAAGTCCTTTACCAGGCCATTTGTCTGGTCACTGGATGCCTCCCAATGGAGAACCTGCACTGGACATCCGCCCCACACTTACCAAGTAAGTTGTGACATACAGCCTACCACACCTTTTATGCTCAGCATTATAGGTCCTCCCTAACACCCGCTGTGGGGAAGGTGAAAAAAACCTACTCCACCGAAGCCAATATGGTGGTGAGGGAAAAAATTCCTTCCCGACCTCTCAAAAAGGAGTGACTACCACAATGCCCACAACAGGTTCAAACCCACCTGACAATCACACCTTAAGGGGAGGGAGGGTGGGTGCTGCCTTGCCTGCTGCATGGAGAAAGAGGTTTCCAATGCCAGAGCTTGCACCTTTAAAGCCTTCCACTCTTACATTCCAAGGGGATGAGTCAGTGCTGCAAAGCAGACCAATACCACCTATTTGCAGCAGTTTCTGAACTCTGTTCTCTTCCCCTTTGCCCCATGCTTGCCATAAAGCACTACTGTCTTCCTCCAGCAAGCCTGGACAATGGCCCCCCGCTTTTGGTGCAGGGCAGTCATTCTTGTTGTCCCATCTATATATCTATATCAAATCTATACCTATCTATCTATCTATCGATAGATTAGATTCATATGAACTGGAAAAGTTGAAGAGAACGGCAAAAAAAAAAAAAGATCAGAGGGATGGAGCAGCTTCCATATGAGGAGAGATTAAAGGACTGGTAGTATTCATTTTAGAAAAGAGACAACTAAGAGGGGATGTCATAGATGTCTATAAAATCATGAATGCTGTGGCAAAAGTGAATAAGGAAGTCTTATTTATTTATTCCCAGAACGTAAGAATCAGGGATCACCCAATGAAATTAATAGGCAGTGGGGTTAAAACAAACATAAGTAAGCAGTGCTTCACACAATGCACAGTCAACCTGTGGAACTCATTGCTAGGGGATGTTGTGAAGACCAAAATATCAGTGGCTTCAAAAAAGCATTAGGTAAATTCTTGGAGGATAGGTCTAACTGCTATTAGTGAAGATGCATCCCCATGCTCTAGGTGTCCCTAAACCACTGACTGCCAGAAACTGGGACTGGACAACAGGGCATAGATCACTAGATAAATTGCCTTGTTCTGTTCATTCCCACTGAAGTATCTGGTACTGGCCACTGTTGGAACACAGGACCTTTGGTCTCACCCAGTATGACCATTCTTATGTTCATGATGGATTCTGGATCTCTTATTTTGGAAAAATTCTCTTCCGGTAATACTGTATTAGATGAGGCCCTAGTTAATCTCTTTCAGAGTATTTTATTTGTTACTGCTCTAAATAACTCTATACCATATCATTTGAATCCTTCTGAGCTCTGACTTGACAAACTGCACATAACTACCTTGCTGCTAGCTTGTTGGAAGGAAGATATCTACATAGTTAACTTAGAGAAAAAAATTAATAAAATTGGTTGCAGCTTTATTATGGCCAAAAAACGATGAACAATTAATGGCCAGTAACAAGAAGCCTATGAAAGCTAAATCTTAGAAATGCAATGGAGGGCCTGTCCTAGTCTCCAGGCATATAATCTGAAAGAAACTAAAGCCACACCTGGTATAATAAAGTGCACCAGGGATCAACTGCCCAAAAGTTTATGTATATTATGAAAGCAACCTAGTTGTTGTACTGAGAGCATAAGCCCTCATCTCACATGGCAAAACTTTCACCAATCTCTTGTGGTCAACTTTTTGGAATCCCTCTCTTACCTGTGGTCTAAAGTGGCTGACAAAGGGTACATTATGACACAAAGAGGAAAATCCAAAGCATCACAAGAAAGCATCTGTAAAACCTGAGGTTAGAGACAGTGACATGTATTACCCACTATCCACTCTATCCTGAATCCTGATGATTAGTATCCTTGTACTTAGTTAGGATGAATTTAATCCTAGTCCTTTAAGAAAACTTTAAGGGAAGGGGCAGGACAAAAGAAGGCTGCACCGCTGTTGCATACATGCCTTTAAAATTGCCAGGCTAAGCAGGTGGCCAGCTGGGGAGTGTGCAAGCCTACCTAGTTGCCATGCTGACCACCAATAGGGAATTGGCAGATTGTGATATGACCACTACAATCCTGTCTTCTCCCAGTTAGGCCATGTCTACACTTGGAGCTGGGGGTGTGATTCCCAGCTCCTGAAGACATACTTGTTCTCGCTCTCAAAGAGCTAATGCCCGAGAAACAGTATTGTAGCTACAGTAGCATGGGTATCGGTGAGTGATGGCATGGACTCGCCACCTCTGATTAAATATGTACAGGGTCCATGTATGCACAGTGTTTGTTCTTACACTGCTGTTTGCCACCACCTATGCAGTGATCCAATGACTGGAAGTTCAAGTTAGACAAATTCAGACTGGAAATTAGGGGTACAATTTTAAAAGAAAGTAACCATTGTAACAGTTTATCAAGGGTTGTGGTGGCTTCCCCATCACTAACAATTTTTAAATCAAGACTGGATGTTTTTCTAAAAGACATGCTCTAGGAATTATTGTTGGGATGTTCTAGGTTATGGAGAAAGGCATAGTAAATAAGCACAATGGAGTCTTCTGGACTTGGAATCTATGTTGCTGTGGCTACATTACTATTTGTAGCATGCTAGTTGATGAGATATAGAGTGAGTACGTCTACACGAGCTGCTTCAATCACACCTCTTTCTCCAAGTATTGATGTAATCTCAGTGTTCCTCAGAGTAAAACAGGCATCCAATGGCCCCCTAGCTGAATTAAAGGAAGATGATGCATCCCTAGTCCATCTCCTGCTTCTGTAAATAATCCCTATCAATCTGAAGAGGTTGAATGAATTTTAATCTCATTGTTGCTAGTAAATTTTTTAATCACACTCTTGTTATATTTTAGGGGTATTAAAGAAAAATTCAGTGTGTTAATCAAAGTCAAAATTAAAAATTTTTAGTCTTTTTCATTTTGGAAGAAAAAAGAACATATGTCCACTGAGAACATATCCTAGAAGCTGATCACATAGTAGTGCCACCTTTGGAATCTGAATGTCTGAAATTTGGCTTTCTTTATATATGTAAATGGTTGTTAGCCGTCTTATAGCCTAGTGGGCAATCTTACCTCTATTATATTCTGCTTTCCATTATATTCTGTTTTATTATATTCAGCAGTAATACAAGGAACCTACAGGCTTGTATCCTGTAAGACATTGGCTTCAGCAGTTAGCATGAGGCTTGTGGCCTATGAATTTTGGCATAGATTAATTTAGGTAACTCATAAATTTGGGGGAACTGGAAGTACAGTGTAGGGGGATTTTCTTCCATAATGACAAAACCTGAGAACATTAACTGACACCAGCTTCTAGAGGTTTTGGATGGAACATCTGACTGCAAGAGTGCCATGACAACAAATTGACATATATGATAACGGGGTGAAATCATAAATACACTAACCTATAGAAGGAGGACACCTTAACATTGATAAGGGGAGGAAATACAAATAAGGAAGGGGGGAAGAAACTCCTATTAAATATGCATTAGACATGGTAAGTCAGCATAACATATTATAAAAGTGGCATGCCAGGGGAGCGGGGAGAGAAATGTAGCCCTTGGGAGGGCCCAGAATGATGGCTACTGGTGAAGATGAGGAAGATGATGTTGATGAGGAAGATAATGGCTAACATTTCAGGTTGTTCTGCAAGGGATGGTGTGAGTATGGATGTTCAGATGTACTTTCTGTGTTATCTCTATCTACCTTACTGAGTTAGAGTGTGTGTGACTTTGCTAAATGTATGAATAAATTAATTATTTGTAAATATAAAGGAGTTCCTATAGTGTGAGTATTGCAGTTGTGCACATCAGGGTTCCTAACTATACAATAATTTTTAATAATACTGGGCCTGATCTTGGGACAAAAACCTGTCAACCCTCAAAGTGATAACAGGGATTTTTTATTCTTAATCTACAGATCAGGCTACAGCCTCTATAACTAACTGAATGAAAGAAGATGGTCTTGTGTTTACAACTGAACTGAGATCTATGAGCACTGGGTTCAGTGCCTGTCTCTGTCAAAGACTTCATATGTGACCTTCAGCAAGTGACTCACTTTCTCAGTTCCTGGAGTGTAAAACAGGACAATTAATATTCCTCTCCCCCATCCTTTTTCTGTTTAGATTTAGATTTCTATTTAGATTGTAAGATCTTTGGCGCAGGGATAGCCTTTTCCTATGTATATGTACAGCACCTAGCACAATAGGGCTCCAATCTTGACTGAGGTCTCTAAACACTACAGTAATCCAATAAGTAATATTTGAAGAT